TGTGCCTCCTACTTACAGATAAGAATGTAAGCTCTTAGTCACCACACACACCATGCCTACCTGCCTGTTGCCATACTCCCTGTCATGAATGGTTGTGGACTCGGTCTCTGAAACAGTAAGCCCAATAAACTACCTCTTCTATAAGTCAGATTAGTTCTGAAATCTCCTTATAGCAACAGAAAAGAAACTAAGACACCAAGAATGAAAGAAAGTGAAGTTCAGTGTTTTTGTCACGGCAGGGGTCATCAGCTCTCAGAGGTTCATGTGGAAACAAACAAACCTCTTAGAACTTCTGCTCAGGAGTCACACAGGGTTCTTTCTACTCACATTCTATTTGCCAGTGTGCATCACATGGCCATGTCAAGTGAATGGGGCACTGGAGTTCATTTGGCACACGACACCTCAGCAATGGTGCAGTGTGTAACGGGACCACAGGTACACAAAGGACAGAATCATTAGTTCAATCTGCCAAAGTACCAGAGAAAAGAGGAAGTGTGACAGAAGCCATGCTGATCTGAAGACTATGGGGTCTCCAGTGAACAAGGTCAGAAAGGCATGCTCTTCAGAGACAGTTAAAAATAAGTATTGTGTGCGATTCGAAGCTTTGGAGAATTTGTGGAAGTTGGGTGTAGAGAAGGAGGTCCAATGTCTGCCTCAACCCCTCTCTACCTCACTCTTTTTAAGGTGGAGTCTCTCTTTAGATCTTGAACTGTGTGTGTGTGTGTGTGTGTGTGTGTGTGTGTGTGTGTGTGTGTGTATGTGTGTGTGTGTGTCCTAATTCTCCCTAGAGGCTGGCAGGCAGCAAGCCTCAATGGCCTTCCTGTTTGCACTCACCTCTGTGCTGGCCAGAACTATATCCAGCTTGTTACCTGTCTTCATATTTACTCTTAAGCACTGAGCCATCTCTCTAGCCCTGCCTTTTGGAATCTTATGGTGTGGTGCTGCTATAATTCAATGGGAGCAAGAAAGAAATCAGACCAGCAGCACCAGTAAAAATTCATTATATTGGTCACATAGGCATTCTGCTGATATGTAAAGCAACTACTAGCAGAAATCCATCTGTCAAATCACTGAAGACAGAGGGGTTGGTTTCAGCCACTCCCCATTCAGATGAAGTTTTTTGAGACAGGGTTTCTCTGTAGCTTTGGAGCCTGTCCTGGAACTAATTCTTGTAGACCAGGCTGGCCTCGAACTCACAGAGATCTGCCTGTCTCTGCCTCCCAAGTACTGGAATTGAAGGCATGAGCCACCACTGCCCAGCTAAGTATTTATTGTTTGCAGAGGACCTGGCTGGGTTCAGTTCCCAGGACTCGCATGGTGGTTCACAAACCATCTGTTACTAGAGTTCCAGGGGATCCAATGTCTTCTTCAGCCCTCCATAGGTACGTAGTGTGCATAAATACATTGTGCTGGTTGTTTCTGTCAACTAGATATATCTGGGAAGAAGAAATGTCAAGTGAGAAATTGCCTTCTCCAGATTGGCTTATAGGCAATTTTGTGGGTCATTTTCTTGATTAATGATTGACATGGGAGGACCTAGTCTACTGGGTAATGCCGTCTCTGGGAGGTAATTCTGGGTGGTCTAAGAAAGAGGTCTGAGGAAGCTTTGGGGTGTTGGGGTCCAGCCCCAACATAAAACATTTCTCATACCAGAATGGAGGCATGGGAATGAAGACACAATCCATACAGCAGTATTGGGAGGGACTTTCAGTGATCATTCAAATCCTGAAATTCACTCACTTTTTTTTTTGATTTTTTTTTTTTTTTTGAGACAGGGTTTCTCTGTAGTTTTGGGTGCCTGTCCTGGAACTAGCTCTTGTAGACCAGGCTGGCCTTGAACTCTCAGAGATCCGCCTGCCTCTGCCTCCCGAGTGCTGGGATTAAAGGCCTGCGCCACCACAGCCCGGCTCCACACGTTTATTTTTCAAACAGCTTTTATATCAAGGTAAACTGAGGGGGAGGTAACACAAACTTCATTAGCATTGTTTCCTAGGTAGTGGCGGGGAGGGGATGATTTAGGTCACAGGTCACATCTTGCCTAGGCCTATTTTGTTCTGTAGACTGAAAACACCTCTTCCCCAGGTGACCTCCTAATTTGCAATAGAAGGAACAGAATGTCATTAGCATATCCTGGCACCTATTGAGGTGGTGTCATGTTTGCTTTGCTTCAAAAGAGCCAGGAGATCCCCTCCTGGGTGGAAGGTGCTAATTGCGCCTTGTAAATTGCTCAGAGTCTCTGACCACCAGACAACGTGGATGGAATATGGGCATAATTCGGCCCCCACATTGGGGAACCAACCAATAAGCAGCACTCCTTCCTGGTCTCTGCTTCAGTTCCTGCCTCCAGGTTTCTGCCTTGAGTTCCTGCCCCGACTTGCCTTCATGATGGACTACCACAGTTAAACTGAAATAAACCCTTTCCTCCCCAAGATGTTTTTGGTCATGGTGTTTTATCACAGCAATAGAGAACAAACTAAGTCATACATGCAAATACTCACACACATAAATAAATCTTTTTGATAAAAATTTAAAAGATTCAAATAGGTCATTGAAGAGCCTCTTCTTACGGATACTTAAATAATATTGGAGCTCTTGAAGACTAGAACTTAGTATTGCTTTTTCTTTTCTTACATCAGAACGCACAATCATTTTTTAAGGAAGTTGAAGCGCCAACAATGACCGAGTACCCTTGTCTCTTGCTGACAACCGTCTTGCTTTTCCACTGGAAACTGCCCTTTCTCTCAGAAAAGCTAAAATGAGAATAGCAATCAAATTAAGCTGTCACTCCCGCTTCTAAAAGATTAAATTTACACATCAAAAGAGCTGTCCATTAAGACAACAGCAAGGGCCGGGCAGTGGTGGCGCACGCCTTTAATCCCAGCACTTGGGAGGCAGAGGCAGGCGGATCTTTGTGAGTTCAAGACCAGCCTGGTCTACAAGAGCTAGTTCCAGGACAGGCTCCAAAACCACAGAGAAACCCTGTCTCGAAAAACTTAAAAAAAAAAAAAAAAGACAACAGCAAGGAATTTCTAACCTCTGCTCTCAATTCTGTAATTTCTATCCAATGATTAAGACTTCTCCTCTCTTGCCAGCGGTAACATTTCAAAGCTGTATCCATGGTACTGTACTTTATGTGTTAAAAGCACAGCACATCTATGCCATGGAATTTGTGCTTACACACACATTTTGTGCATAAGCAATGCGTTTAAAATATATAAAGAAAGCTTCCCTTGGAGCTGTGGAGACAGCTCACGGGCTGAGCGCGCTGCTCTTGGAAAGGATCAGAGTTTGGTTCCTAGCATCTCCTTCAGGGGGCTTCACCACGAACTGTTAACTTCAACTCCAAGGGTATTCTGTTTATCCCTTCAGCATAAATATGTACCACGCACGTTTAATTTAAAATAAAATAAATCTTTTTCTTTTTATAAAAAAAGGTTATTCCCTTGATCAGTTAGGCTTGAGTCCTGGGAGAGGCCTCTCTGCCTTGGTGCCCGCCCCATCTTCGGCTTGCCCAGCCTAGTTTTTAGCTAGAAACCCCCTCAGTCAGTTTAGCACCCTTGATATCTGATCACCCTGGCCCGCTTTCAACAAGAATCCTGTTCAGTGAGTTTAGCAAGAATCCCTTAACCTCTGATAATTCCTCTTGGTAATTTTCCATCCCCTCACATCCACACCCCTTCCTCTCAGCTATGAATCAATCAGCCCCCAAGTAGAACTCAGTCTCTCCTAGGGGTTTAATAAGTATCAACAGGGTGGTTTTTTTTTTTTTTATAAAAAGCTACCAAGCTCCCAACATAAATCTAACTGGAGAATCTTCTAGAATAATAAGGGTTGCGGGGTCTCTTGGAACATTGTGAAAGACCTGGATGGTCCCCCCCCCCGCCCCCCAGCAGGAAGAAAATAGCCACAAATCTAACCAGGAAGAGAAGAATCAGGAATCTAGCATTAGTCAATTTAGTGACTGTGTTTCAGGAACTAGCTAAAGATAAAGTTAGATTATAATCTTGAGAAACAGGTGAATGTCATTGTACTATGTTTTAGGAACTAGCTGATTATGACCTTGGGAGTGGTCCTAGAGGCGTGGAGTTGCCCCCTTGTGACCTTCACTGGATTTTCAGAATTTTCTACGACCCTTTTGGATTACTGGACCTTGGTTTCTTCCCTTAAAAACTCCTTCTCCCGGTCCGGTCACTCGGGGTAGAACTCTTCCCCTGCGTGGGTTACGAGTCTCAGCCCCAGTGCACTGGTTCCCGCCGTCTCATCTCATCAATTAAAGCCTCCTGTGGCCGGGTGGCGGTGGCGCATGCCTTTAATCCCAGCACTCGGGAGGCAGAGGCAGGCGGATCTCTGCGAGTTCGAAACCAGCCTGGTCTACAAGAGCTAGTTCCAGGATAGGCTCCAAAACCAGAGAGAAACCCTGTCTCGAAAAAACCAAAAAAAAAAAAAAAAAGAAAAGAAAAGAAAAAAAAAAAGCCTCGTGTGATTGCAGCAAGGATGGTCTCTCGTGAGTTACTGGGTCTCTCGTGAGGGGGGGTTGTGTTATCCCGAGACTTGAGAGTCACCCCAGCACCGGGGGTCTTTCAATTGTTGCTATATTCTCCAGAGTTGCAGGCAAACAACTCGAAAGAACTTCTACACCGCTGCTTCGTCCAGGGGATTACATGCTTGGGAGTTAATGGTCAATAGCGTCTCTGGTATGCCAGGAACAGCGTTCTGGGCAGAATAGGAACGCGAAGTCGGGTCACCCGTCCACCTCCTCGGTGGGCTAGGGTCACAGTGCATTATTCCTGGACGCCTGTGCCGAGCGGTCACCGGTGTCCCGCCGAGCAAACGCCCACCTCAGCAGCGACGATCGAGCCAACCACTGAGGAAGACCGCTCTGCTCCCGAGTGATCTAGGTCGGTTTGCAGCACCGAGGTCGCCGGAAGCACCGCCGAGGCCCGCTGACGTCATCGCCCACGCCCCGCCCCCTAACACCCTCGGTCCCGCCCTCCCCTCCCCTCCCACCACGTGTCCTCGCACGGTCGCGTGGGGCCGCGCTGGGGCGGCTGGAGCGGCGGAGCTGGTGGCGCGGTGAGTGCTGGGCCGCAGCCCTTGTCGCCCTCGGCGGCGACACCGCCCGTTCGGCCGGGGTGAGTGCGCGCAGGACGCGGGGCTGGGGCGGCCTCTCCTCGGGACTGGTGTTTGGGGGAAGCTGGGCCGCGGCTGGGCGGGGGCCGCCGACGGCAGCTGTCGCCGCCGCCGCCTTTGTTGCTGGCCGGCCGGGGAGGTGGGCGGTGTGGGGGTGTCGCCGCCCTGCAGGTGCACGGGGCACCCGAGCTGGGAGCGCGTGCTGCGACGGCGGGGGAAGGGTCGGGCAAGATGGCTGGAGTGAGCAGAGCGACGGCGGCGGCGGGCACCTTCGCGCCGGCCCCTCCCACCTCCCGCCCCGCCGCCGGGTGCAGGCCGCGGCCAACTTCAGGCCCAGGCTCCCGGGACCTCACGGGCATTCCTGCCTCCGCAGGCCGCCTCCCGCCTCCGGAAACATTGGAGACGCTGACTCCGAACTCCGGAAAGATCTTGGCTTCAAAAGTCCCGGAAGATGGGACGCACGAGATGCACACTCCCTACACACCCAGCAGTTGTCGGCAGTCTTTTAAGGGGAAGCTCTTTGTACCGGCCTAAGGAAGCTTCGAGTACAGAGAATTTGCGACCCAGAGGCGAGGAGTCCTGCCAGGTCTGGGTTGGCCTTCGCCCCCCAGGCACACCCTCCTCCGTGTCACGGACTTCGCTTTGGGGGGTCCTTTAAGGAAGAAAGACTGTTAAATTTCTGGACTGGCCTGTGGACAGCGCCTGTGAATCTGGAAAATCCAGGTGATAAGTTTTTGTGCTAACTAGTCAAACGTCCCGTCTAGACTCAGACTCTGGCCTGGTAGCAGATCAGCACCGCTCTCCTCTGTCCCCGGTTCCGGGTTCAGTTGGTACTGGCAATGGGAAGCTTAGGCCTGTCAGTGCACTGTGGAAACCTCTCCTTGCCTGTCCGCTGCTCTCACTTCTGTCCTTCTGCACAAATGGTTTGGAATTACTAGTCTGGCTTCCCGAACCACAGAAAGCTTTAAGTATTTGAAGCTAGCCAAATACATTATCTGCCCACAGCCCCTCTAATAATGATGAAATAGCCGCTTTCCCTGAATCCCTGTTATGATAAAAGATAAGGTAGATATAAATATTGTAACTAATTCTTGCTTAATAACTGTTTTGTTATATGTAACTTTGCTATTTTAAAGTTAAAGCCTTCCTTTTTTGTTTAAACAAAAAGGGGAAGTGATGTGGGAGTGTCATATATCAATCTGTTGATTTCTAAAATTTCTAAATGGTTTGCAGTGTGTTAAAAATATATGCAAGCTAAAAGTTAAAAGTTCTTAGAAGTAAAAAAAGGAAGAAAGAGGGTAGTTGGGTGTAGTAGTACACTCCTTTAATCCCAACACTTGGGAGGCAGAGGGAGATTGACCTCTGTGACTTCAAGGTTTGGTAGCACACGCCTTTAATCCCAGTGCCTAGAAGGCAGAGACAAACAGATCTCTGTGAGTTCAAGGTGTAGTAGTGTACACCTTTAATCCCAATGCCTGGAAGGAAGCAGACAGTGCTTTGCGGGTTTGTGTGCGCCTTAACCACCCTCTTGGTCTGAGAGTTCTCACTGACACCTGGCTTGTCTGCTAAATCTTGCGCACAGAGATGGAGTCCCCAGCCTATCCTCAAGACAGGACTCTGAAAGAAGAGCGAGAGGAGGCCGTTCGGATCCAAGGATTGGAGGATGGCCCCCCCATAGATATGCAGAAAGTACTGATTGGTTCCAGAGGCTCGTGGGTAAGTAAGAGGGTATGGGAATCCAGCCTGGGAGCCAGGTTTGCCTTAGGTCTCCTCCTGGGGCAGATGTGGGAAGTAAAAATAGCCCAGACTCTTGTTTGCATTCCTGAGGAAAAAAAATCCTGTGCCTTCAAAAGGCAGAGCAAATGGTGGAGGGAGGAATGGTGATGGGAACGGGGCCTCCGGCACCGAGGCTGATTTCAGGTCTCAGAAACTGAGACCTTGTCTGCCTGACACTTTGTCATTCACCCATTTCCCTTGTGCCTGACTTAATAGCATCATAGATATTGTAGGCACCAAATACCTTTAAGACTCGGGTCGCTGAGTGCTGTGTGTCCCCCAGGTGTCAGTGGAAATGCTAAGCTCCAGGGAACGTACAAGTGTAAGTGAGACCGTATCTAATACATGTGTTTGCTTACAATAGTTACTGGAGCCTGGAAACTAAGCACGAGTTGTAAATATTTTTAGTAAGTAATAAATGGATATTGCTTAGTTTTATATTGTGTATAAACATTATCAATATCATCAATACATAATGTCCTTTGTGCCCAATAAAAGGGAAGCCTTTCATCATAGAACACAGAACTGCAGGCAAAAAACTAGAAAAACCCTTCTTCCAAATTACCTAGTCCACCCTTCCTACAGGACCTCAGGTACCAAAAGATACCTGCTTTACTGCCCAGATCCCTGTGTCCATTGACTTCCTGAGCCGCAGCCCTACCAGCGGAGCGCATCTGTGTGTAAACTGCCGGGCATCGCCAGCTCTGGGCTCACTGATCTGAAGCTGTGCTACCTTTTACCCGCTAGCTTTTGTCACCCTGTCTTCCCCAGTTCTGACCTCAAAGCAGCAGAAACCCTGGATTCTAAGGTTAAATCGAGCAACCCAGAATATCTAAAGAGGCTGGAGCAGTATGGAAATCGGGTGTAGTCAAAGTAGAGATCTGATTGTGTTGAAATGAGAAAAGCGGGCCTTGCCCAGGAAAGAAGTAAGCAGAGTAGCTGAAGGCTGGAGGAGGGGGCCTGGCAGCTTGAGAGGTGGGCTTGGGTTTGGGCATTTGGAAGCTCCAGGAAGTCAGTTGTCCATTCACAGCCACTGCACAGCATTAAGACAAATCCCTGCCTTCCTGCAGCCCCCAGTCTCATAAGGGAAAGAAGCAGCCTAGGGCAGCTCAGGATTCTCACTCAGGCCTGACAATGTGCTTCTTAGAGAAAGCCTAGTCTTAAGCTGGGGACAGTTTTGCCCCTCCCCACTCTGGAACATTTAGCAGTATATGGAGGTAATTTTAGTTGTTGTGACCCAAAGTAGACGTTGGGGTGTGAGGCCTTTATTGCATCCTTGGTTTGAGCCAAGGATCTCCCTATACATCTGCAGTGCAGTTGAAGGTACCCTGCACATACAGAGAGGAACTGGGTAGTCCAAAATGTCAGTAGCATATGGTTGAGACTCTGATCTAGCACATTAGGAGAAGAGAAAATAGAATCTATTTTAAATCATATTTTTTAATAATTAAGATGGTTCATAAGAAGTACTCACATGTAAGTATGCTCTGTAATAGAATGGGAGTAGAAAGACAATTTCAAGTAGAATAAATATACTTTGAACTGAGCCTTATAAAGAGTGGGATGAGCAGAGGGAAGGGGGAGCTCATCTCCAGGCAAGAGAACAGCATGGTCAGAGGCATGGAAGAGAGGCTGTGGGTGGAGCTAGGAGACACCCTGAAGCTGGAACCTAAACAGGCAGTGTGAAAAGGTAAAGTCGGGGGATGGGACATGGTGTGCTGTGCTGGGTAGTTAAAGCTGGCCTGAGTAACTTTGAGGAATGAATCTTAAACCCATCAGTCTACAGGAATAGGCCTCTGTAGAGCAGAGTTGGGAAGGATTATATACTAGTCACCTTGGTAAGTCCTGTTGAGACAATACTGGCTTTGGAATCAAACTCTAGCTGTATGAATTCAGCTAAGCTACTTAGCCACTGCTTCCTTAGCCATAAGGAAGCGGTAGCAGTCCCCATATCCGTAGCTTATTTTAATAATTCAAAGAGATAATATGTTTACATGATTGGAAATACCCTGGGCAGTGCCTAACCTTGCAGGGCTCTGTTGATACAGTGGTTCCAGCTCCTCTCAGGTGCTGCCTCTCTAGTAAGCCTCAAATAGGAAAGTGCTTTACAGAACAGTTACCCTTGGAGATAAGGATTGGGACTCCAGCTTCCCAGAAGAGCAAGATAGTGCACACAAACTGGAGAACACTCCTCTGATGAGTCCTTAATCACGAGAGAGAGGAAGGACAGGAATTGCAGGTTCTTACTGTTAGGCCAAGGGGGATGACTGAAGCATGAACTGCAGCCAGCGCTGCTTACCTTGTACTGCGCTTGAGCAAATAAATGACCTGCATAGTAGGACCCAAAGTCTTGCCCCAACTTCACAGGGCTCTGGGGAGACTTCTAAGCCTCTCTATTGTGCATTGGGTGCTTGTTTTGGACTTGGTTGAAGATACTTTAACCATGTGCTAATTAGAAGATGGGTCTCCACACCAGCTCTAGTCAACATTTATCCGGGTCTAGAATGTGTTACCCGCTCTGCAGGGATTGGTGTAACTAAGCCTGCATTCTTCTGTCAGTGAACAGAAGGAGATTATAAATAGTTATGGCCTAGATCTAGAACTTGTAAGGGAGTGAAAAGGCCAAAGAGAGAGTTGTTTAAAATCTTGGGTAATAGGAATAGAGTAGACTGGAAATTGTCTGAGCTGCCTGGTTTTCAGATTGAGGACGTCTGAGGAAAGCCTAGGAACCACACCATTCTTATCTCCTGCTGTTCCACATGTGAAGTTTTGTTCAGTTTTACTCCAAAGAGTTGACTTGGTTTATTGACAGAATTTTAATTTTTAAAACAGTTCCAAGTATGACAAGAGAAGAGAAATCCAGAGGTAATATGTTTGCCTCAATAACTCATTCAGCAATATATAGTATATGCATACTAGCTATAGAAGTAGTTCTCAGTCTGTGGATCATGATACCTCTGGGGGTCAAATGTACTGCATATCAGATATTTACAGTTCATAACAGTAGCAAAATTAAAGTTCTTGAAGTAGCAAAAATGAAATAATTTTATGGCTAGGAGTGACCACAGCATGAGGAACTATTATTAAAGGGTCACAGCGTTAGGAAGATTGAGAACCACTGGCTATCGGAAGCATCTTCGGCTTAGGGAAACAAAGTAATTGCAGGCTGTTTTTAGCAAAGTCAGATTTAAGTGATGAGCAGAGAAGTGAAACAAATGCACAGTGTGACAAGCCAGAAAGTTGCAAGCAGGACATCAAGGTGCTGTGCAGGTGTGTGTACAGCCTGGAGAATGGTGTGCCTGGGCTTGGTCTTGGAAGATGGGTGGGTGTGAAAGAAGAGGACCTCAAGGGCCCAGGGGATAGTGGGCAGAGATAGATAGGCATCAGGGAACAATGAGCAGTTAATACAGGTGTAAGATGGATGGAGAGTCCTTTGGGACAAAGCTTTCTCCTTTCTAGTGAGAGCCTTGGACTCACACAGTGCTGGGCCCACGTCTCAACCTTGCCACTATTGACTGTGTGTCTTTTGCCTAGAAATGAGGATCCCTTGAGCCCATCCCCATGGCCCTTACTAAACTGGAAATCTGCTCTGTTGTGAGATTATTGGGAGAGATCAAGAAGCAGCTGTAGGGCCCTTCCCAGCAAGTGTTTGCATATAGAAGAGAGTTTGGTGGTAACAGTAGTAAGTGGGTCTAGTTGACAGGGAAGAAAGGCCATGGTGTGTGAGTGACTGACAGACAACTTGATCTTGAAGAGGCCACTAGCCACATATACACTTGATTTTTTTTTTCTAAGCTAAGGAGAAACAATATGATCACCCAGCCCCAAGATAGAGCTTTGAGAAATAAGTTTGAAGGAGAGAATGCCAGAAATAAGTTCATTGGTGATTTCTTAACACTAAATATGAGCTTTGGAGTAGGATTTCTAATGACCCCAAAAGAAAATGCAGTAGAAAAGAAAGCAAATCAGTTGGAAAAGTAAGAGGTTTTGGTTGCTGGCCTTTAGCTAGGAAGGCTTGCCCTCCTTCTGGGACCCAGAAAAAGAGATGGAAGAATGAGGGAGGGAGCAGGCATCCTAGTCTTGCATAAAAACCTACCTACCATTTTGCTGGGATCTCATTCTGTACGTGAGGCCCGAATTAGCCCTTCTTTGCTACTTTTGCTCCTAGATTAGAAGGGCCTAGTAAGGTGCCTTCTCCAGATGACTCTCCTTGGGACAGCATTGGTGTAGAATGTTGCCTCGTTCAGGAGAGTCTGTGTGATCCTCAAAGATGCCATGGAGAGCAGTAATCCTGTTCAGTTTAGCGTCTCTGGCTAGGAGATAGTTCTAAGATGAGATGGACAGCTTTATGGGGATATTTATTCAGGGCATGACTGAGTCTTGACTTTGGAGTCCCAGGTGAACTGTGAGCAGATCTCATGCAGTCTCTGAGGAGACGATGCCCAGAGTCCCCCACCCTGATGATGGCAGCTGCTGTGGTGGTGGGACACAGGAGGTCTCACACGTACCTGTCCCCAAGAGCAGTGAGAATAGACAGACCATTCCCCCTGGGTGAGAGCCCTGACCTGTGAGAGTGAAGGCTTCGTTGTACCCACTTGTCTGACACAGCCCATCAGATGTGAACATCTGTGCCTGTACATGCTAATCATTGAGAAAGTATTGTTCATGTTCCAGGTACCAGTCCTATTTGATGAGGTGGCCATATATTTTTCGGATGAGGAGTGGGAAGTTTTGACAGAGCAACAAAAAGCCCTCTACCGGGAAGTCATGAGGATGAATTATGAGATTGTCCTGTCCCTGGGTAATGCTTTGTTTTCCTTTGCCTCTGGGAAGCTCTGGACCCAGAGACCTGTATCATTGTCTCTGTCTTCTCTGTTGCATCTAGTCTCCTCGTCTGAATGGGACTCTCTTCCCGTGCTGTGCCAGCTTCATTCCCTGGTTTTGATTTGGGCAGGACATACAGATGGCGCCTTTCTATTTGAAACCTCGCGTTAGCTCTTAAAACAGTCCTCTTTTGGCCCAAGTGTTTTCGTTACTTAAAAAAACATAAAACAAAAAGTGTAGCCTTCAAAATGTCATCATGGATCTAGGACTGTATCCTTGGGAAGGAAAGCTTTGTTGTCCTCAGACACTTGATGGTGCACCGAAGAGTACTCCCCCTAACACAGAGAGTGGCATCACCCCTCTTCTCAGAGTATAAGCATTTGGAAGAATTTCCCAGTTTTGGTCAGTTGGGTTCCAAAATGTTGATTGTTTCAACGACTGTATCCACCCACCCTCCCTGCTAGTCAGTGTACTTTGCTGTTGCTAGTACCAGCTCCCATTAGCAGAGGTCCAGGAATGCCCAGACTATGCTTTCCATCCTTTGTGTTTCTAAGGATCACCCAGCTCTGCTCCTGTCTTCTTCAGTGGGGGTGAGGGTGTTCCTTACTCCATAATACACAGTTATTTCCCTGCTTTATTTCCTGTGAACAGAATTCCCATTCCCTAAGCCAGACGTGATCAGTCGGTTGGAAAGAGAAGAGGAGTATCCTAATTCTGATGACTGGCGGCTCCAGGGAGTAACCTTTGCAGGTACTGTGTGAACCAGTTCAGCATACACCCAAGGGAAATAAGCCAGGTTTTCGGTTTCAGTGTGTATTCTGTAGTGTATTTAGGAGTGAGGCACAAATGTGTGTATGCTTTGGAATGCAAAGATCCCTTTTTAGCACTGTATGGACTTGGTGACCTGTCTCCTGGGCCTCCAGTTCCTCATTACTGGCTGTGAGTTTCCACTTTGATGTGCACATGGTGCATGGATGAAGTGACCTGAGGCTGACACAGCATTTGGTCCACACCAGAGTGCATGGCTGCTTTGTCAGCATGCCATGTGCCTCCACAAATTAGGCATAATGAGAGGAGGGACAAAGCGCACTGCTAGATTTAGTTACTCTAGGCTTCCTGTTCCATTCTGGGTAGGAAAGACAGTAAGAGCTGTAGCACACATTTGGATAGTTATTTTGTTGGAAAAATATATTTAGTCCCAACACTTGGAAGGTAGAGGCAGGAGGATCTGAAGTTCAAGGTCATTCTTAGCCTGAGCTACATGAGACAACCTCAAAAGAAGGGGGAAAAGTATGTGTATTAGTGCACCCACACACACCCACATACTGTACACACATTTGTGTGTGCCTATGTATCTTAATTTTGAGACTACCAAAATATATTTGCTTTTCTCTGTGATGGGTTTAAAATGCTATATTTCACTGATTCCACAACATGTTTTTCTTTTGTTTTACTAATGTTACAGTTGAGAATGCCTCTTAATGAATGGCATGTGATAGCTGTTTTTAATAATACATTATGTTTTGGAAGATACAGTAATCACGATAAACCGTTCCCTGTGACTACCTTCCACATGGAAATGTACGATGAACCAGTTCTGTCTGTGCCATGCAGGAGCCAGGCGTCTGCAGTATAGGCTTCATTTTGCTAACTTGGGTTTTGCTGTAGGTCTGTTTTTGTTGCTTTATTTTGATTTGGTTCAGTTCAGTTGCAGGGCTGTGAGTCAGCGCATGGTGCATCCAGATATTTGTGGTATTAGGTAGGAATATGGAGACATTTGGCTCCCATCCACATTAGCAATGGGTGGTACTGGTGTGAGTGGGGATGGAGCCTGATAAGCAAGCTCTAGCCCCAGCTGTCTTTTTGTTTCCGTTATATTTTGAGACAGTGTGGCAATGAACTTGAGAATCCTCCTCCTGCCTTTGCCTCCCAAATAGCTGGGATTACAGGGCTACACCACCAGGCCCACACATAAACATTGTTTTCATCCGAACGTGGTCCTGATATTATTTGCTCCAGGTTTAGTACCTGTATTCAGTTCCCACTGAAAGTTCTCTCATCACTTCATAGCTTGGTGGCTGTGCTGTATTTCATAGCATCTATGGTTTCTTTGCTTGAGTACTGTGAAAATAAGATTTGGTTAGCCCATGCTAATGGGACATAGATAAGGACTTAGTCTGGGTTATTTGTTAAACTTTTGGTTCACTTTTATGAGTGCCAGATTAAACATGGCATTATTTTTGCCCTTCTTACTTATCTTCTAGAAAATGAAGAATCCGACTTTAACACTCCACATTGGGCAAGCCCAGTGACTGCCACCTCCCCTTTCCCTCAACCTCAGCAATTCAACAGCTTTTGGCATCTGCCTCGGGACATCGCTGAGCTGCCTGAATGGAGTGAGGGGTACCCCTTCTACATGGCCCTGGGCTTCCCAGGGTGTGACCTCTCAGCTGATGACTTGGCTAGCAGGTTTCAGTTCAGTAGGGGCATGCGCCGCAGCTACGATGCCGGGTTCAAATTGATGGTGGTGGAGTATGCTGAAAGCACCAACAACTGTCAGGCTGCCAAGCAGTTTGGGGTATTGGAAAAAAATGTTCGAGACTGGCGAAAAGTGAAGCCACAGCTCCAAAATGCCCATGCCATGCGGCGGGCATTCCGAGGCCCTAAGAATGGAAGGTTTGCTCTGGTGGACCAGCGTGTTGCCGAGTATGTCAGATATATGCAGGCCAAAGGGGACCCCATTACCAGGGAAGCAATGCAGTTGAAAGCTCTTGAAATTGCCCAGGAAATGAACATTCCAGAGAAAGGATTCAAGGCAAGTCTGGGCTGGTGTAGAAGAATGATGAGAAGGTATGACCTATCTCTGAGGCATAAAGTGCCGGTTCCCCAGCACCTGGCCGAGGACCTGACTGAGAAGCTCATCACTTACCAGCAGAGCGTGCTGGCTCTACGCCGGACGCATGACTATGAAGTAGCACAGATGGGCAATGCAGATGAGACACCCATTTGCTTAGAAGTGCCCTCTAGAGTGACTGTAGACAACCAGGGTGAAAAGCCTGTCCTGGTCAAGACACCAGGTAGGGAGAAATTGAAGATCACAGCCATGCTGGGTGTCTTGGCTGATGGGAGGAAGTTACCCCCATATGTCATTTTGAGGGGAACATATATTCCCCCTGGGAAGTTCCCCAGTGGCATGGAAATCCGCTGCCACCGCTATGGGTGGATGACTGAGGACTTGATGCAAGATTGGTTGGAAGTTGTGTGGAAACGGAGGACTGGAGCTGTGCCCAAACAACGAGGGATGTTGATCCTGAATGGCTTCCGGTGTCATGCCACTGACTCGGTAAAGAGTTCCATGGAAAGCATGAACACAGATATGGTGATCATCCCAGGTGGTCTGACGTCACAGCTGCAGGTGTTGGATATGGTGGTCTACAAGCCTCTGAATGACAGTGTCCGGGCCCAGTATTACAACTGGCTTCTGGCAGGGAACCTGGCACTGAGCCCCACTGGAAATGCTAAGAAGCCACCGCTGGGCCTCTTCCTGGAGTGGGTCATGATGGCATGGAACAGCATCTCAAGTGAATCAATTGTCCAGGGGTTCAGAAAATGCCACATTTCCAGCAACTTAGAGGAGGAAGATGACGTTCTGTGGGAAATTGAGAGTGAGCTATCCAGAGAACCACCAAAGGAATGTGATGCTGAAAGTGTGGCAGTCAACTGAGGAAAGAGGTGAGGTAACTGGCCAGCAGCTCTCACCATCACTGATGCCCCGTCATGTCTAGCACTCACCCTTTTTCTGGCCACGAGTCTCTTTTCCAGTTCTGCTCAAAAAAAGCCTGCCATGCCACAGTGTAGACAACAGGTCATCAACATTCTCTCTTTGGTATTTTGTTCTGTGGCCTGGATCCAGGAACGCCTCTGTAGTGGGTAAGGTGAACAAGGAGCTGCCGGAACACTTCACATGAAAGCAGTACTACTGCAGAAAGTTACTTGGTCCAACAGTGTTCCATTCACAAAGTTTGTCTGGGAAGATAACTTTCTTCTCTTAAAAATTCTGAACTTTTATGGCTGGTCTGTGTGCTTGCATTACTTAACATAGTTGCACTGCTTGTTGCTGATCTGCGGGACCATGACCCAGGGAGAGAGTGGAGTCTGCTTTAGTACCTCTGAGCCTCAGCTCTGTGTCCTGGGGTGATCATAATATGTATTGTTTGCTTTCCTCTAGGGAATGTTGAGAGTTTTAAAACATCATCTTAGTCTTATGGAACTTAGCTGGGGTGAACCATTACAGTCAGTTCCTATTGTCAACAGATGTCTGAAAAGTGTTAATTCGGTCTTGAAAGGGCTGCAGAGCTGGCTCAGCGGTGAAGAGGATGTGCTGCCCTTGCAAAGAACCAGAGTTTAGTTCCCAGCACCTGTATGATGCAGCTCACAATCACCTGTGACTCCAGCATCAGGAGACCCAGGGAACCTCTTAACCTGTTAGGCACCTGTAGTCACATGCTCATTTCTACACAGAAACACAGTATATATAATTAAAAATAAATCTTTGGGCTTGAGAGATGGCTCAGCAGTTAAGAGTGCTTACTGTTCGTTCTTGCAGAAGCCTAGAGTTCAGTTCCCAGCACCAACATGACAGCTCACAACCAGGGGAATTCCAGTTCCGACGAATACAGTGCCCTCTTCTGGCCTCTGCCGGTACCTGCATGCATATGGTACACATATCTTTGTGCAGTCCAACACATACACACAAAAATAAATTTATTTGAAAATTGATCTCTAGAAATAGTACTACAGTGAGTGAAGTTTAAGGCCCTAAGGTCATCAGGTGATAAGGGGGAAGCAGAAGAGGAGCGACATTGGAAGAAAGCAGGGATGGGAGCCAGGCAGAGCCCACCTGGAAAGCCCACACAGCCCTATACACCTTGAGTGAGCGGGAGAATACCAGAATAGGGGACACATGGGAAGCACAGACACCTCACCCATTCTCATTTTCCACCTACAGCCTCTGGAAAGGAAAGTGGCCCATCTCTTAACAGGAGACCTAAAACTATCTTAACATACCTTCCCTTTATAAAAAGAAAAAGAAGACATTTTTATTAGTGTACATTTTACTTGCCCACCCACCATCCAACTGAAATCCTAATGGAAATCTCCACCCAAGCACAGGCTCTTAGTGGCATACACCTCCTTCCTGCCCTGACATCCTACCCTCGCCACAGCCCTAAACCTAGGGTAGAGCAGTTATAAAACTACATTCAAGATAACTGAGATCTGATCTATCTTCCCATGCCCCCACTCTGTGTAAAGTCCCATAGAGTCAAGCTCCTCCTGCTGCCCCCACTCTGTGTAAAGTCCTATGGAGTCAGGCTCCTCCTGCTGCCCCCACTCTGTGTAAAGTCCTATGGAGTCAGGCTCCTCCTGCTGCCCCCACTCTGTAAAGTCCTATGGAGTCAGGCTCCTCCTGCTGCCCCCACTCTGTAAAGTCCTATGGAGTCAGGCTCCTCCTGCTGCCCCCACTCTGTAAAGTCCCGTTGAGTCAGGCTCCTTCCCCACTGCCCACTCTGCTGTCCCCACTGGCAGCTGTAGTTGTAGTTGTTTTGTCTTTTCTCATTCTTGCTTTTCCCCTCTGTTAGAAAACATTTGTGATTTTCTAAGCAATGTACCACTCGAGGAACCCAATCAGAACCTGTCCTGGAAGACGAGAGGGCAGGAAACGATGCTAAACCACAGCTGTGCAAACAGGTACTCAGCCCAGTCAGCATGAGTTTCTGCTCCAGATGCCATCAGGGAGTGTTGGAAATAGACAGGGATACACAACGGCATTAAAACAACCTCCTGTCATGGAATAGAATGCTATATTTTTAAGTTAGGAAATATCCAGGAATCTAAGCTTAGGTTCTCTTGTTTTCCAGCAAATGAAACTGTGATAGAAGCACCTGGAAGAAAAGAGCACTTGTAAGAAGATGGCTGCAGAGGGGCCGAAAAGGACAATAGGCTCTGAACATCTCAGGTCTGGACAGCAGCCTGAGCATCCCATTTCATGACAGCCCCACCCACCCTATCCCATCCGGTGTCAGCCAACAAGCTTAGAACAACATTCTGTCCTGTTCCTCCTTTGGGAGCTGTCTCCTCTGCTCGTTATAGAAGCCTGTAAACACAAATGGACAAAGATATTTCCTGGAGAAGAGAATGTTCATCACCAAGATGCGCCATGTCACCACAGCTCTCGTGTCTCTTCTGTGGAGCAGAAACCTCAAGTATAAACCTTTGCAGACGCTCCAGTAGAGCCTGACTCCACACAGGTCAAGACTACAGAAAAGCTCTGGTAGAAAGCCATCACTCCTGTACTGCTGTTCTTACACGTCACTGAGGGAATGAGATTAATAACCACAAAATCGAGACACTGGCTTGGTGCCGGAAGATGGCTTTTCTAGAGGTAACCTAGGTTAGTATGGAAGATGAGAGTTTAAAATAAATGATGCTGTTGGACTTACCTTCCTAATCTGGTCGGCAGCTAGACCTTTTTAGGGTTGATGACCCTACTTTCCCTATTACCCTCTTTAATGAGGCAACCCTTGGTATACAAGCCTTTGCTCTTCAGGCTGCTTGCAGAAGTCTCTAAATCATCTGCTGTCTACACAGAACGAGGCCCACTGACTCATACTTGGGTTAATTTCTTTAATATTTTAATCTAAAGGGCATGGGAGGGATTGGGCCTTGAGCCACAGCTGCTTTCAGACTTCACAAAATATGTATGAGTCATTGACTTTTTCCACAATAGTAATTTGCATTCTTGTGTAAGTTAACTGTTAAGAAAAACATTCCTTCAAAGCTATCTATGCTACAAAAATTCTACCAGAACCTCATAGGCAAAGCCGTTGCTAGATCTGTCATTCAAAATACTCCGTCTGCCCAACAGGTTGCTGTAACCACTTTTCCTCCTCCATTCAGCTCATGTGGACACTGTCCACCGTGCATGGCATCTTTACCAGTTTCTGCTCGGGTGCGCATTTACCTGTTTGCTACCTGTTTGCTGTCCACTTTTCTGATCTCTTTTAACCAGTTTGTCAGAGTTCCAAACACATGAGAATGACTCCTAAGATCCGAATGAACAGACATCTTAATTGTTTCTGATTGGCTCTGTCTGTGCTGTCCTGTCATCCCCACATGACATGTTACTCTCCATCCCATCAGGTTTTCCCTCCTTCCCTGTCCTCTTTCCCGACTTTCTTTCTCTTGCTTGGGAGCTTAAAAGATGTCATCTTGGGCTTCCCACACAGAAGCCAGGTATCTTAACAAAGAGTAGAAAATGGACCTAACTCCTGTTTCATTCTCATCAGCTGAGATGCCTTACAGGTTGCATAGCACTGGAACTTTCCTAGAGTGATGGTTCTGCTGCCAGGGTCTTCTGGGAGTTCTCCTTCACTGGCTGAAGACGATCTATGCTGAACAGCCCCAGTACAGTTGTTTAGCAGAATAACAGTTAACCAGAAAGTTACCATAGCACACTGAGACTGCTACTCTCCACTAAATAGAAGCTGATCCCAGTAATAAACTTTGATAACAAAGACAATAGGCTCTGGTCGTTTTGTTTATCCGTTGGTATTGTCAAAAGTTAAATTTTAATCTATTGCCTATATCTGATTCATCAGATTTGGTAGCATTGTATTACACCTTTGAAGCAAAGGCCTCATGGGATGTACTGTGTTACAGGCATTTTTTTTTTTTGAGGGGAATATGGGGTTTAAAACTAGTTCTTAAAAGTTGGAGGGGTTTGGATAGGTTTCCTCAATAAGTCATGTTAAGAAGGACATCCATAAAAGTTACAGATGAGTCAAAATGTGCTAACAAGTTGATGGACAGAAATCGCCTTTTCATAAATTTCTCAAGTGAGAGCATCATTCACGGGCCTTTACTGTGCTATTAGGCAATGGAGTGTTGGGTGGACTCGGTCACAGCAGGGGTGACAGCAGTGCTGGAGTGCTACTATGTGTGCCTGATCCACAAGCAAGCAAGGCAGACTTGTAGAAGTCACACTGTGGCTAAACACGACTGCAAACCTCAAGGTAGAGATAACTACTCCGTTTCTAACAGCTTGCTTCTTCCAAGGATTTTTCCTAAGTGATCCTTGACAATATATGTTCATAATTTCTTAATTATAGGAGACTGCACATAGACTCGTGACTGGCAGAGGTATCAAAAGGAGCCAGCCTTTGGTTTGCAATCTTTTGTAGAAACTCTTGAATATCCTAATTATTCTTATGTCCTAGCCTTACCACCAAGCCTATCCCCCACTTCAGAAAATCCCTTGACAACTGGCATGGAAGACAGATGTGAGTGTAGACCTCAAAATAATTAAGGTAAAATCATTGCATTGATTCTGGAGGTTGTGGTCCCACTGGTTAGTGACCAAGTGAAGGCCAGGGCCTAACACAGTGAACAGTCTACAGCTTAGACCCTCCTCCGCTACACAGAACCCTTTGGAGTCCTCCCTTCCAGACACACACCACCCACTAGGCAGCATGAGCCCTTCACAGAGCAGCAGTTCAAAACAAGCCCACTAAGTGTGTACCTATCACTCCAAACCCTTTCAACCCCTAAAAGTCCTTGAGTATCACCCACCTAACACTTGAAAAGGTTTGTACCAAGAACAACTTAAGCTGTTGATTTTTTTTTTTTAAATCTTAGGCCACATACCACTAAATGCATACCTTAATGGGAACCTGCCTTGTCGGTTGCCTAATAATATTCTTTTAAAGTTTGAACCAAGATATCATATGACTGGACTTTTCCTGTTTCTATGAAAGATAATATTCCTTACCTGCCTGGGCAGTGGTGGCACAGCTTTTAACTTGAGCACTTGGGAGGCAGAGGCAGGTGGATCAAGGCTAGCCTGATCTACAGAGCATGTCTCAAAAAACCAGCATAAGATTATATAGCACATATCTGCTTATTTGAATAAACAGAAAGGTTTTCTCCCAAAATGTTTATTTGTCATATTTAAAATACAAAATCAAATCCACAGATCCAGATATAGGAACACACAAAAATACATGTATCTACTGCTTAGGTCTCTGATAACCCATCTGTACATCTAATTTATCCATCAATACTACATGAATGAAAAGTAACATCGCTTTAAAACAAGTTGGTTACCAGTAACACTGTCAAATGTAAGATCATAGTACCACTTGAAAGAGTAAAACATTTTGTAGAAATATGAAAATCAGCAGTTTGTAAGATTTCATGAAAACATTTCTAAAGGGTTAACAGGCTTGTCCACCAGCCTTTAGACACACTAAAGCTAAAACAACTGAATTACAAGGAAAACTGCATTCTAAGAATTGGACTAGAGTATTAAAAGGGAAAAAAAAACAACAACAACAAAAACCACCACAAATCCAAATCCTGTTCTCTGGGGTGAAAACAGTGGGTTGCCTGGGAACTTCCCTAGCTGCTAACTAGTCACTAAAGGAGATTCTGACTAACATTAGGTTATTCCACCAATATGCAGAGTATAGTTCTTCAGGGAAAGCAGATTTTTTCACTGTCAGATACAGCACATACATCACTGAACATGCAGCCCCCCTAACCATAGGGACTGTGCTACAAACAGCATCTTTATTTTAGCATGTCACCTACCTTACCATTGACCAGAGACACTACACCTGAGTTGCCTCAGTCTCCCTATTCAGGTACAGAAGAATGGCTGCTCCTATGCCTGGGGACACAGACACCCAGGTCATCCTCAGTCAGGCATCTATTAATAGCTTCACAGTAGCAACACAAAATGCACTCAACATCACATTTCCATAGGAAAGGTCACACATACATTATACACTTCAGTTTTGAAATGTGGAGTCAAAAGCTTGCAATTTTCAGCAACCAATTAATTTAGTGATGGTCCTAAATCTTCCATCCCTGATTTAGCAGAGCAAAAGTCCTTCTTTGGCTGCCAAGCGCTGGCGATGGACTTTGTCTTGTTGTAGCTCTTCGTGACTGGGGTGCCAGAGTTTCATGACGATCCTCTCGATGTTAAGGGCATACACAGTATGTGTAGGAATGACTTCCCTGTGCACCTGAGAGTTCAAAATCACCGTTTCTATTACACTTCAATAGACTTATTTTTCCAGCATTCAGAAGTATAACCTGTATTTTTAAAAACTTCTCATGACTTGGGTACCCTATAAACTTTAAATCAGAACATGGTGAATCCCTCGTCAGATAACAAAACTAGATGGTTCTGGGGGTCACTCAGCAGGGAGAAGGGAATCACCAGGCAAGCCTGACGACATGAGTCCAGCACAGGTGGAGGGAAAGAAATGACCCAAAAAGCTGGCCTCTGACCACACACAAGCCATGACACCTTGCACCCACGTGCACACACAAAATGGCAATTTAAATTTTAAAATTAAAAAAAAGAACTATGGGAATGAGATATTTGTTTTAGTAAGGTAAAAGATGAGAGATAATTTAGGAGGACTACGGGGTTGGGATTTTGAAATGAGGTTTCTACTATAGAGCATAAAAACAAGTAAAGTGGGAAAGCTAGCATCTTTGTAGAGTCATTAGTCAGTAATGTGTCGATAAATCTAGGTAAACCAGGAGCCAAGAAATACCTGCAGAGCTTCAAAAAGGTCGTACATGTTCACTGGAGGTAAGGACGCAGGTAGAGTGTCCCCAGAGCATGCCAACAGGAACGCCGCCTGCTGTTCAGCATCGTCAGGGTGTGGCTGAGAAGCTGGATTCTGACTGGCACAGGGAGCAGAAAAGGCTGGAGGGCTAGAAAAGAAGTTTTTAAATAAATATTTTCAGACCAGCCTGGTCTACAAGAGCTAATCCCAGGACAGGCTCCAAAACCACAGAGAAACCCTGTCTCAAAAAACCAAAAAAAAAAAAAAAAAAGAAATATTTTCAGTCCCTAGAACAGAGATAAGTAAAATCAAGAATAGAGAGGCTCTCTGGAACACACCTCATTCTGAATATCTTTAATTAAGCAAAAACCCACCACTATATAAATAGAGTCCATGATCTTAATTTCTTTTTTTTAAAAGTTTCTTTTTTAAATATTTATTTATTTATTATGTATACGATATTCTGTCTGTGTATATGACTGCAGGCCAGAAGAGGGCACCAGACCTCATTCCAGATGGTTGTGAGCCACCATGTGGTTGCCGGGAATTGAACTCAGGACCTTTGGAAGAGCAGGCAATGCTCTTAACCACTGAGCCATCTCTCCAGCCCCCATGATCTTAATTTCTAAAGGGTCCCATGTATCAGGAGTAAACAGTATAGTGCAGCCATATTTACTCCCTCTTCCCACAATACTAATAGGTTAACTTAGCTCAGGGTACTGAACCAAACTGCTTGTTTCCCCTCAAGAGTTTCCAGTTTGGAAAAATAAAACAAAACATGCATATAAACAACAACAACAAAAGCAGTATAACTGAAGGAATATGAAACTGAAGAATTATGGAGAAGGCAAATCATACTGATAGCAAGCTTAAAAAATACACAGCTAGAAAAGTAGCAGGCAAAATGGGAGTATGGGGAAAACGCCACCCACATCTTGCTAACTTCCCAAAACAGGCCAAATAGAAGACAAGCCGAGAAGTCAGGCCTGGCTTTACATCTGTACAGATGAGGTAACTACACAGTTGCCAGGGATATACAAGGAAGCAAAGAAAAGAGTGGGGCAGCAGCTGTGGCTGAGAGCAGCAGATGGGAGCAGCTCTGTTAGAGCAACAGCTTCTGGAACTGGGACAGGAATGGAGGGCTTCAGGGCAAAGCCATCAGCGCCAACTCCCAGCACACCTCACTACAAGAAACCACCTTTTTTTTTTTTCATTTTTCCTGAGAGGATGACTTAAATATGAAACAATCCCAAATAGGTATGTCTCCACTGATGGAAACCTAAACAGGGACCCTAATTTGAAATGACACTCATTCGTCACCATGTCTCTACAGCCTTGGGACGGCCACAGCGTCCCCTCTACACGCGCTGCCAGCTCCCCCGCAGTCAGTATCTGTCCTCTCTGTTAGCTCACCACTGCTGCTCCTGCCAGCACTCCTAGCCTTCAATGCCTTCTTTGACCTTGTTTTACTGTCACTTCTGTCCTCCTGTCAGCCACTAGCCAGATCACCAGACAGACGAAAGCCAGTCTCTAGAGATGTATAGCCACTGCAGTAACCACAAAGAAAACCACTGCGAGCTCTTTTTCAAAAGGCTAAAATTAACACTAAATGTTGTGGGATAAAGATAACCTGAACCCTGCCGGGCGGTGTTGGCGCACGCCTTTAATCCGGGCACTCGGGAGGCAGAGGCAGGCGGATCTCTGTGAGTTCAAGGCCAGCCTGGACTAGAGCTAGTTCCAGGACAGGAACCAAAAAGCTACAGAGAAACCCTGTCTCGAAAATCCAAAAAAAAAAAAAAGATAACCTGAACCAACTCATAAAAGGGTGGCTGAGAACTGAAGATGGCCGTGGGGGGCCGAGTGGATGGTGGGCAGAGGTCATTCTGCTGAGAACAAGCAGGAAGGCGCGCAGACCACGACTGAGCTACAGCCATGAGCACCAGACATGGACAACAAACATCCACCACTCTTCCTCCTCTTCCCAACATCAGAAACCCAGCTTTAGGCCATGAGCAGGCCACCCCCTCACCAGGCAGAGGCCACCATCAGGAAACACTACCTGAGGGACTACTCCATCCCACTCAGAGAGAGACAATCAAACAATCGCTTCTGGTTTTAAAAGGGTACTAAAATAATTCACTATAACGTATGCAACTTAAGAAAAACTGCACTGATGTCAAATCTCGCAGAAACACAATAACCAGTTCTTTACAGTGGCCTCTCACATAAGGTCAGTGACCAAGCAGCAAAGGATCACTACAAGAGTAAGAAGCCACTTACCCTTCAACCAAGTTGTTATAAGCCACCACACTATTCTTCAGGTATGGTTGTGGGGTCACGTTACTACCAAAGGCGTATTTAAAATGGCCATCTCGTACCCGGTAAGCTTTCCTTCTCGATACAACTGATGTCAGTATATCTTTGAGATGATTCTGAAAAACAAAAGAAAATAGCAAGAGCTGCTCAAAAGCAAACTATAAGACGTCCATTGCCAAGCGGTCCTTCCACTCCAAACAGTCCTTGCATTTGGTTATGTAGAACGACAAACGCTCATGAAAAAGAGCCCAGGCCAATGCATGGGGGAAGGAAGGGTGTGCTAGCTTCACTTTGCTTCTTTAAAGAGGCTGCTCCCCATGCAGTGCTTTTCTTTGCGGTGGGTTTTATTTCACAGGCTGCAGTGCTGACATTGAGCATCACATGGGGCCTCCTGCGCGAGGTGAGCGCTCTCTACCGCTCCACATGCATTAAGTGGATGCTTCTCAGAAAAGATTTTTTGGTAAAGTAATTTTTCTAAGGCTTTAACTTTGAATTTGACCTAAAATGAGACAAAAGTTTTAAGATCTGGTACTCACTGGTTACCAAAATCTTTTGTTCTCAAAAGCTCTACAAACAGAGAATACTGTACATGTCTATCAATTCTCATCACCTCTAGAAAAGCCAAGTAGTAGGGAGTGGTGGCACATGCCTTCTTCAATCCCAGCACTCAGGAGGCAGAGGCAGGTGGATCTCCGTGAGTTCAAGGGCAGCCTGGTCTACAAGGAGAGTTCCAGGGCAACCAGACCTGTTGTTCAGAGAAACCCTGTCTCAAACAAACAAATAGAAGAACCAAGTGCATTAGAGCTGGTTGGGGAGCATGAAAATAGGACCCTTCCAGCATATGTTAGCACGGGGAGCCAGGAGCAGACTCAGCATTTCACTTATACCAGTATGGCTTCTGCTATCAAGACATCCTTGTGCAATTTAATACAGGTTTTCATATAGAACTTATTCAATGTTTCTAGTGCAATTACTATCTCAGAAATGGCTATGAGGAAAATAAGACCCAGAAAATTACCTATAGTACTTGAGTACTGTCTGGAATCAGTGCAATGTACATTTTGTCGAATACTAAGTGATAAAGAAATAGTGGGTCAAACAATCCACTGTTCAAATGCCCACTCTTTCAATGCAGCACTACCTCAAACACAAGTGACTTGAACCGCTAGAATTTCTGATTTCTGTTTTTGCTTAAAAATTGTTGTGTGTCGACAAAACAAATTTAAAAAGAGATAAGCAAAAGTACGGATGCTGCAAGGAATCTTTCTGGAAAACCTCTGTCAACTAAAGGTAATTCTTCGGTTGCGAAGTATGACGTGTTTCTCTTAATGACGACAGATATGAAACTGAGTGGCATTCAGTTCCTTCCTATCAGTATCATTTTAAAACACATACATCTCATAAAAATCATTACCACCAGCAAACCCACCTCCACAGCATAGACGACAGCAGAAACAGCTTCCTCAGTGACGTTGTCCAGCCCGTGCTCATAGGCTGTCACGATCATCCTCCCTTCAAGCTGACCCCGTGTGGGAAGCATCATCGTGTGTGAACAGAGTTTCAAGTCATCATCATCCTGGGGATCCTTTGCCACAAACTGCTGAGCTCCAGAGAGGGGGTTCTGAGGCTGGAATCTATGCTAAATAAGGAGACTCAAAATTATTTACTTCAATAGCAAGTAACAGGACAAACAGAAAACACCCGTCTGCCAGAAACAGGGACCTACAAAGCAAGCCCACCAAAACTACACCACAGGGTATTAAAATCTTCAAAGTAAAAAGTGAATCGTGGGCTGGAGAAATGGCTCAGTCATGGAAGGCTAGGCTCAAACCAAAGTTACAAAAAATAAATCACATACAAATGATTGTAAATTCAAACCATTACACAGTGAGTCAAGAAAGCAATGGCTGTATACACATCAGACTCTTCTTTGGCTTTTTTGAAACAGTCTTTCTATACTTAATAACCTAGACAGGCCTCAGCCTCCCGAAAGCTGGGATTGCATACAGCTGTGTACCTCCACGCCCACAGCCACTGTTATATTCAGTACCTTGGTGATGACAAAATGGGTGGCCTTATGCTAAAAATAACAATCGGAAGAGACGACACAGAACTGTATTCAGAGAATCACAGAAGTTTAATTGTAACTAGATTCTGAAAGTATAGACATATAATTAATGCTTCAGTGAGGATTTACAAAACCTAACAAACCAAATGATAACTCTGACAAATGCTCCGAGCTAATGCTATGGGACAGATGCAGCTCTTTATTGTAACTGTCTGCTTGCATTCCTAACACACAGCCTAACCTTTGTTCACTTGTCAACACTTCAGTGTCCCTGTGAAATACACATACTCTACCATCACCGGGAGACTTGTTCCTGGTACTTTTGCTTTTGCAGTGGAGACAGTTTCCATGTATATATTACAAAAACAATACCAGCATTTTTTCATTTCCTAAGTATAAAGCTGTGACAGAGCCAACACATTTCAAACCAGGTAAGCCTCTGGAGACAGGAAGACCCCAGGCTGAGTAGTGTTACTGACATAAGGTATCCTGGCAAGCCTTGGATGAGAAACTTTTGGAAAACTTCCCTTCCTACCTAAGAACATATATTTCAAAGGTTTACAAGTTTTATAGCCAAATGCCTCACAGTCTCTATACAGTAGATCTCTAAGGGCTCAGAGTGGAGCTAGATTTCAACAGAAGCCTACCAGAAGCTCCCAGATGCCTTTGCTCTGAGCCTCGAATGATGAGAGAACACAAGCCTAGCTTCCAATCACTGGAAACTCTGACATGCTAATGACACACTGATCTGTAAACCCTGACAAGAAAGCATTTCAAAGATATATTTACAATCTTTTTTCTTCAACTCTACTGGTAATATTTAAAATCACAGCTACTTAGCCAGGCGTGGTGGTGCATTTAGTCCCAGAACTTAGGAGGCAGTAGCCAGCAGATCTGTGAGTTCCAGGACAGCCAGGTCTACACAGAGAAACCCTGTCTCATCAACCCTGCCCCTACCCCCAATGCCATAGCTGCTTTATCACACTAGTACTGATAACTGTAGCTGCCAGGACCTTATTGAAGAATGACCTACATCAAATTTTTGACGGACAGAAGAAAGCTTTTTCTTGCCCTTGGGTTTTCCAGGCTTGGCTGCAGAGCCCCCTGTCCAGGGCAAAGATCCAGCACCCTCTACAAGACAAAAAAATAAGAGTCACATTGTAAAAGACAATAGCCAGAGTGAAAAAAAAAAATCACAACAACCATTTTTTTTCTTCATTTGGAGATTAAAAGCATGGCCCATTTGGGTAATAAAAATTTAAATAATGAAGCTCAAATCTTAATCTTCTCTTTATATAAAATGACAAATCCCATATCACATTGTTTTCTAACTATATTTTTGAGAAAAGCAAAACTCTTTCTTTTAATGTGTTCAAGCATGTGTGTGTGCTTGGGTGTTTGTGTGCATGCTCGTGCATACATGTGTGCATGCACTCAGAGGCCAGAGGGAATGTCCAGTATTTTCCTCAATCTCTTCTCCACTTTATTTATTATGGTGGGATCTCTCACGGAACCTAGAGTTGGATGCTGGCTGAACTAGCTAGCCAGCAAGCTCTTCCCTTCCTTGCCTTCCCGATGGAGATTACAGGCAGATGATTATAGGCAGATGCTGCAACGCCTGCCTTTGACATGGATTCAAGAGGACCAAATTCAGGTCCTTCTGCTTCCGTCGCTCAGTCCTTTATTTTTAATTAATGTTTTAGAGACATGGATTCAAGAGGACCAAATTCAGGTCCTTCTGCTTCCGTCGCTCAGTCCTTTATTTTTAATTAATGTTTTAGAGGGCTGTAGTCCAAGCTGGTGAACTGAACACATTTATATATCTCTTTTTTAAAACCTGACTAAAACCAAAAGTAAAGGAAGGCGACCCACAAGAAATAAAGAAATGAAGTCTCAACAAGTCCCAAGGTGGACTAACGAGGTCTTACAAAGCTTAGCCAGAGAGGCTGTGAGTCTGCAAGGATAGGCAGAGGCAGCTTAACACAGACCCACAGAAGTAAGGAGGGCTTGGAAAGCCTAAAAGTCACTATTAATGCAAGGTCTATGTTCAAAAATTACCCACATGCGTGCATTTCCTCACTCCCATGGACTAGATCAGTATGAAATAAAAACATGGGCGTAGATTTAATCAAAATACATCATATGCAGTATGAAATTCTCAAAAATAAAAAAATCATTTTTAAAATGTAGAACTCCTTGTACTATGAAGACAGCAATGAAGCACCAAACCACGTGCAGGTTTCTGTGCAGATGCAGTTCCCATGCCGACAAAGCAACTCTGCTCACTTACAAGCACGGGATGGTACAGAACAGGTACACAACATGAAGGTGAGCTGGCAGGGGACGACAATGAAGACAATTTTTCAAGCCATACTCAGCATGTCTGGTACCTGCTAAGGTAGGCAGTATGGACGCTGGTTTCCTAGATCAACGCTTTCAGCACATACCCCTTCCTAGCAGCTGGCTCTGTTGGCTCACTCTACAGCAAAATCTCCACATGGACAGCACTGAGTAGACACTTGATCATATTTGGTACTGTGGAATATTCGCCAATGGAAGAAACATACTTAAGATTTTTGAGGGGTAGGAAAGTCAAAAAGATATAATCAGGGATCTGGCTTGTTCTTATAACAACCTGATTACTCTCCCAAGAGCAGCAGTAGCTGGCATGGTGGCACATGATCCCAGCACTTGAGAAGGCAGAAAGAGTCCAAGTTCAAGACCAGCCTGGGCTGCACAGCCAAACTTTGGCATACTATTCCACCTCCCCAAAAAGAAACTCAGGAGTTCATGTAGCAAAATTATTCATCCAAAGAGAAAAACACAAATAATCAGGAGTACAAGATACATTCATCTCATCTTGCTTCTGAAGACGGCTATTCCAGTGCCTAAGAACTTCCCACCACCTCACTACCGTCCACACACTGAAATGTAAGATCCCAATACTTAACCCATGGGGAGCAAACCACATCCAAATAATAGCAAATGAGTTAAAAACAAAAACAAATCAGCTAAAAATCAGAGCAGATATTCTAGACAGAAAGTAAAAGGACTGACCCATATGCATGTGGTATCTCCAGTAAAGTCTGAGAACACATGTATCCATTAAACAAGAAAATGTTACAAAAGCCGCTGAATTCGGGAGTATATTAAACAGAAAGCCTAGAGAAGCTGAGGAACACTCAAAGGACAAGGGTAATGTAGTAAAGAGACAGACACTGAAGCTGACAGACCAGAGACAGGTGTAAGCAACAACGAGGGACAATGGACGACTCCCCATAAGAACAGAGCACAGCAGGGGATGCACTAGGATGCAGCATCTAGTCAGGAGCAGCCTTTACCAACCGTCTGTGCTGACTTTCTCAGAGCTATGAACAGTGTTTAATGTACATGTGTCATGTGTGTGTATGCATGTGTGTATGTGTGAGAGAGTGTGTATTACACTTAGAAAAAATACCTCCAAAATAGTAATTTCAAAGTACTCCAAAACAGTTTTTAAAATTTTTCTTTAATATGTACTTGTGTCTCTGGGGGGTGGGGGCGTGATGTACACATGACTGTAGGTGCCTGAGGAGGCTGGGGGCTTTGGATTCCCTGGAACTGTAGTTACAGGAAGCTAGCTGTAAGCCATCTGACATGGGTGCTGGGAATGAAACCTGGGTCCCCTCCAAGAGTAGTATGTGTTTTTAACCACCAAGCCATTTCTCAAGCCTCACCACCAAACCTTGAATAAGAAAAGAAATACTCGTAATTGTAGTAACGGGATATACCGTGCTTTTAAGATTTATTTATTTTTATGAGTATGAATGTTTACCTGCATGTTCACGTATGTATCACAAATATGCCCAGTACCCTTAGAGCCCAGGGGAGGGTGTCAGATCTCCTGAAACTGGAGTTGCAGATGGTTGTCAGCTCCACTGGGTGCTGGGAACTAAACTGCTACTCTGCAAGAGCAGCCAGCGCTCTTAACCAATGAGCAGCTCCCAGCCTCAGTTATTCCCATTTTAATGGGTTAGAGTTTTTGCTTTGTTCTGTTTTGTTTTTGGAGGGATGGTTAGTAAAACTTGGTGGAGGGGGGATGTATAATCTGGGTTCTACAGTTGAATGATTTCCCAAAGAAACCTACTCCTGCAGTTAAAACTGAATCCTAGGTTCCGGCAGGAAGTGCTGACTGCAGGGAATGGAGAAGCTGCTGTGTAGGTGGCGAGCAGGGTAAGGACACAAAGGGGAAAAGATGGCCCAGAGAAAGGGGGTTCCCACAGCACTGAAGACCAGCTTTAAGCCAAGGCTACCATTTAAATAGACAGAGCCTTGGGTAAATTTTTAGATTTTTGTTTTGTTCTGATGCCTATTTTTGTACCTATTAAAGAAGCCAACAATGCCCTGAGGAGTGGCTGTGAAGATTATCTAACTTAATGTATATTATTAAAATTGTGTAATCAATATATATTCAAGAATACTGTTTTTATTTAATTAATCAGCCAAGTATACGCTTATTAATGCCATTTTCACTAGGGAATGTACTACTTTACATATACTTTCACCTGTTTTTCTTGTTCCTGTATCTATTTCATAAGTGTAAAAGCTTATAATCATCAAGTATCAATTATACTGGTGACAAAATCCAATCTTGAGTCCATTCCTTGCTTCCAGCAGCCTGTGTTATCTCTGCCCACTGCTCTTGTCTGTTGGGAGTGTGGCGCTCTCAACAGGTCTACCGAGAAAGAGCCGGTCCTCACAAGGTTGGCTCTTCTGTTCAGGCACAGGAGATTACCATTATGATCCAACTTCAGACATACATAAAAAAAAAATCTGGCTAAAGTCCACTTCTATTTAAGTTAAACAGAACCACGGAGTATGTGTGGTGACTGTGTGGCAAAGGGTTGGGGAGCCACCCCATCTCCAGCGCTGACCTTTCAGAAGAACAACCACTATCCACTACCCTCAACATCCACAGCTTCTCTAAGAGAATTAGATGGTTAGACCGTAACAAATAATCCAAGTTGGTTCTAATGATAAAGAGGTATGATACAGGGGCTGGAGAGCTGATTTGGCAGTCAAAAGCACGTACTACTCCTGCAGAAGACCTGGGTGACTCACAACTGCCCAGAACTCCAGCTCCAAGGGGACATGCCACTTCTAACTATATTCACTTTGCACACAAACACATAAGTAAAAGCAATAAAAGCAAAAACTCTTAAGGGATAATACAAAACACCAGCCATTTCCTGGCTGACTTTTAAGATAGATAGACTCACACTTTGACAAAAAAAAAAAAAAAAGTTTACTTAATCCACAGAGGCAGCAAGTGCCCATGATCCTCAGTTTGGGTTTTTTTTTTAAATTTTTTTAAATTATTTATTAAAGATTTCTGCCTCCTCCCCGCCACCGCCTCCCATTTCCCTCCCCCTCCCCCGATCAAGTCCCCCTCCCTCGTCAGCCCAAAGAGCAATCAGGGTTCCCTGCCCTGTGGGAAGTCCAACGACCACCCACCTCCATCCAGGTCTAGTAAGGTGAGCATCCAAACTGCCTAGGCTCCCCCAAAGCCAGTACGTACAGTAGGATCAAAAACCCATGAGAGACCCACATTGGAGCACCGGACTGAAATCTCAAGGTCCAAATCAGGAGCAGATGAGGACCGCGAGGGGTGCACCCACACACTGAGACAATGGGGATGTTCTATCAGGAACTCACCAAGGCCAGCTGGCCTGGGTCTAAAAAAGCATGGGATAAAACCGGACTCGCTGAACATAGCGGACAATGAGGACTACTGAGATCCTCTGTTTTTAACAAGGTCTAAGACAGCTTTATCCTAAGTGAAGCTTTCAAGCACTTACTTAACCTTTGCCTTACTACAGCTGGCTGAAGGACAAGTGTATAAACAATTGATGTCACCTAAGGAGCCCAATTTCTACCTACAACCAGTCACACTTAGTCTTTACCAACAATGTGCCAAATAAGCACTGAACTTTCCCCCGTGCTGCTCTGCTCTGAGCTCAGCTCCTGGACACCCCCTCCCCCACCTTCATTTCCTGAAGGAATCTCGAATGTAACAAGCTGAGTGAGGAATAAAAGTCATAAATGTGGGGAAGTCATCTGTAAAGATAATTTGGGGAATTCGAGAACATTTCCTTTGCGAACCTGAGTGGTGTCTCGTGAAGGAAGCTAAGTCCCAAGGCTACCAGGCTTTGCCAAGTGAGCCACACTGGAAATATTCCCACTCCCTTACCTGGTGTAGAAACCAAAATCTGACAACGCGTGAGGATGGCCAAGAGGAAATCATTGTGAGAGTGGACTGAAAAAAGGAAGGTTGTCACAAGTCAGAGTACTTTCAACGTAAGGAAAACTCTAGCCTAGCTTATAAATACTTGAATGCTCCCCCACTCTCTACCATTCTTTATAGTTAACTTTTAAAACTAATATTGTTAAGATTACCTTACACACATCAAAAACAAAAGTACTTATTGTAAGTCTGGAGAAACTTGGAGAAATGAAGGACTACCGTTGTCCTGTGTGAGGAGTCTGTGGGCTTCAAGGTCAAACTCTTCCTTGCTGATCTTCTGCTTGAACCACAGCTTCAAGTTGGCCCAGTATCTGCAGATGGAGAAATAACACTAAAACCACAGGCTTTTTGCCTCTGTCCCCGGAGTCACTCTAGCTGCTCCAACTCCCAAGGAAGAAGTTTATAAACCAGTGTCAATGGCTGAGCTGTGGGAAGACTCCCAGAGTTCCTCTGGGGAAGCCCCAGGCCCAGGCCGAAGCCTTTATAAAGATATAACTGCCGGGCGGTGGTGGCGCACGCCTTTAATCCCAGCACTCGGGAGGCAGAGGCAGGCGGATCTCTGGGAGTTCAAGGCCAGCCTGGTCTACAAGAGCTAGTTCCAGGACAGAAACCAAAAGCCACGGAGAAATCCTGTCTCGAAAAATCAAAAAAAAAAAAAAAAAAAGATATAACTGAGTTAGGATGAGCCCATGAAGGTGATTGCTAATCACCTTCTAATCTAGTCAGCACTGTGAAAGGGGGCAGACACTCCAAACTCCTGCAGATAGGCGGCAGAAGTCTCAGAAGAAACCCTCCCCTTCAGCATCCTGGCCTCGGATTTGCAACCTCTAGCGCCGTGAGAAAATTAATTTCTGTGGTCTAAGCAACAAGCCCGTGGCATTTTGTCACAGCAGGCTTAGCAAATGGACACACCCAAGACGCAGAAGACCAACAAGAAACATCCTTTCTCCCTAAAAGGAGGCTGGTGTGGGCCCGGGGCTGACTCACAACAGGCACAGCTGTGCCTTCCCTTCTCTGGAGTCACCTTTTCAAAGCTGCATGGCAGCTTCATTCCTAAATGTGCACTTTTATTGGGGGGAGGGGGGCATCTGGGCACCTGTACTTATTACCATTCTGGGGACCATGCTTCCCTTCAGATGAGCTCACATTTTAATCGAATCGGCAGAAAAACTGAGTTTCTAAACACCTCACCAAAAAGAAAATATCCCTGACTATGAGAAGCAGAAAGGACTTGGTTTTAAACATCTGGACCTCTGGCTAACAGTAAATGGTTCCCATCCCTGTACTCTGGATATGCTTCATTCACCCACACCCAGGAGCACATCTAAATGGTCACAATGTACAACGCACAGCAAACTGCTTAGGAGGAGGAAACGTCAGAGACAAGCTCGTAAAACAAGCTTAACCAAGAGGCCGTTTTTCAAAAGAAAGAAGAATCCCATACAATTCCATACTGCATCATTAACGCCCGGCACAAAGACCTGTGGATTTCCCATTACAAATCAATGAAGTTTAGACTCAGCACCATATTTGACAACATCACAGTGAGCTTTGGTCTGTACAAATGGACCGTGAGTACTGCTAACTTACAAAACATTCCTGTCAGCCCTGAATTTACTGTGTCACCAATGCATGTGTGATCCTGGAAAACACAGTAGCGAACCAAAGTTAAAGCTAATCATACCCAAGCCATGGCCTTCAGATTTAGCACCATGAAAGACCCCTCACTGCGAGAACTTTGTGAGCACACGCTGGGTACAGAAAAAGAGATGGTTCTCCTGGAGGCCTTTTGAAGCCTAAGTTTTACCACTCGGTATTACAAAAGCATAAAGCTACTCTAATGAGGGCAAAAAGTTGTCCTTTATACCTACTAAAGTAACTTTTTAATTTAATTTCCTCCCTGCACCTCAGGGTCCTTCCATGATACTACTTGGCTGCCCGTGGAGGTTGGTGTCAAGGTCTCAAGCCAGGATGATCAGACTGAGAACATAAGAAGGAAAAAGAACCCCTTGCCCCAGTCAGCTTAAAACCCCTCGCTGGCTGAAACCAAAACCTCCAACACAACACCTGCCTAAGACCTCCTTCTCCCTTCCAGCTGCAAGCCTGCGATTTTTCTAGTCATCCCAACAGGAACCCCTTGTGCAACCTTAATGGCTCCTGTTTTTTTTTCTTTATCAGATATAAGCCCATGTGACTCACCAGCAAAGGGGAAAAGAAAATTATACCCCCCCCCCAAAAAAAGACAGCCACCAAAATGCATTTGCTAAGACAGCTGTGACTCTCCATTGAGAAGCCTGTGCCCACACCTGGGTATTGTAGGGAAAAAAGTTAGCCAAAGAACGAACCCACCCTGGCCCTGAAACCAGAGCCAGTAAAAGAACACACCCTGGTTCTGAGACCTGAGCCAGCAAAAATGCTTTAGCCCTGAACCCAGACCCTGAAACCAGTGCCAAAGAAACAGTTTTTAAAATCAGAGCCAATGAAGGAAACATGCCATGCCCCGTCCCCCCCCCCCCCAAAAAAAAGGCCAATGAAAGAAACACAGTATGGCCCTGAAATCAGTCATCTCTGTCCCTGACCAACTAACCAAGTCCTGATCAGGGAAAACTAAGCAATCCCTCTTCTCCTTGGGAAAACACCGCCCCTAAGAAGCCCTATATAAGCCCTGCACCTGTTCCGTTTGCTGCTCCTCCTCTTCCACGCTGGAAAAGGCAGCCACTCTCTAGGGTTCTTCCTTCCCAATAAATCTCTCGAACAGAGGCTTGGGTGAAGACCTTCGTTACCCCGGAGCAGAGACCGAGTGTAGTGGGGCTGTAACTCTTTCACTGGGGAAGCCTTACCCTAACAAAGCCGAGTTGTTACAACTTCGCTGGGGAGGCCAGAGAAGGAGGAGCAGAGTGGACCAGAGCTGTAAGCCTTTGGCTGGGAGCCAGGCGGAGGTAGCACGCGCCTTTAATCCCAGTACGCGGGAGGCAGAGGCAGAGGCAGAGGCAGAAGGATCTCTGTGAGTTCAATGCCAGCCTGGTCTACAAGAGCTAGTTCCAAGGACAGGCTTCAAAGCTACAGAGAAACACTGTCTCGAAAAACAAAAAATGTAAAGAAAAGAAAAAAAAAACTTAAGACTTTGGCTGGGGAAACCTTCCCCTAGAAGTAGATCAGAGTTGTTACACTCAAGCACCGGCTGTAACAACGTTGCTGGGGAAGCCCTCTCCTGCAGAAGCAGAGCTGTTACATTGAGGAAACCTTCCCAACAGCAGGGCTGTAAATTGCTACGCTGACTGTGACCTGGACTGTTCCTAGTCCCGGACTGCCAGAATGCTCCTCCACCCGAGCTGTAGCACTTAGTATTCCCTGGGCCCTGACTGCCAGGATCCCTCTCCATCCCAGCTGCAATGCATACAGGTTTGTCTTACCCTTTTCCTGGGCATCTCTTTTATCTCTGGTGCTTAAAATGTACAAGTAATAATTATTCTTTTTAAAAGCCTTTTACTAAAGCGGAGGCCGAGTGAGAAGCCTGAACCTACGCTCTTGAGTGCCCTGTCTTGAGAGCCTTTCCATCAGCAGACCCCAGTTCTCGTTCACCTGCGTCTCTGAACAATCTTTTCTGCATGGACGCCAGGAACTATGGGTTTGACAGAGTTGTCGGTCCCCCAAAAGATTGAGGCACTTCCTCGGGATGCGGTAGGCTGCAGTTTAAGCTGTCACCCCTGACAGTCTGGCAGGGCGCCTGAGGGTCCCTTTACAGCCTCCGGGAAGCATCCCACAATCGGAACCAGAAGCCTTGGTCCCATCCTTAGCAGCTGGCTTCTGCGGAGTAACAAACCTCTCGGGGTGTCGGTGCCCTGTCTATCAAATCCGAGTGGTACTGTGTCGATATCACACCCCTTTGGAGAATCAGATAATCCATATAGAGAGCTGGAAAGGGCGTCCCACGGCCGGCTGGGCTACCGTCCCTGTGGATGCTGTGGTGCTGGGTGACCGGCTTCCCCTGACATCTGTGTCCCTTCCCAACCCGCTCTCAAAGCGCTTCTCACCAGCAGCCCCGCTGGCCCCGAAGCGCCGCAGGCTTCCGCCTCCAGGAAGCCTTCCCGGCTCTCCGCCCCGGCGCGCCCCAGTGCCGCCGGATCCCTGGCATCCAGGCTCTGCACCCGCCCCACGCGGGCATCCCTGGTCTCGGGCGAGCCCGGGAGGCAATCCTCCAGAGCCTCGAATCCTGGTCGGGAGCCGTACGGGAGCCGCGGCGGCCGCGAGGCGCCTCGGGCCTCCGGGAGGGGAGGGGGTCCAGGGACTACGGCAGCCCCGGGCCAGAAGCACACCCACGCACAGGCCCCGAGGCTGGTCCCAGCGGCTCTTACTGTTTCACGTTGTCCCCCAGCGCCTCGCTCAAGTTCTTCTTGGCCGCCTCCAGCTCGCTCACAAAGGTCGCCATTGCACCGCGCGTCTCAGGCCGACCGCAGACCGCGCGGCCCACAGCGACCAGCAACCGTAAGATCAACTCGGCGGAAGGCCTGCGCTCGGGCCCCGGCAGGCTCGACTCGACTGGCCGGCCCCGCCCCCAGCCGCTCGGGAGACGTTGGCTTTGTTTGGTTCTCGGCCCCGCCCGTCTCACGGTCGGGCGAGCACCCGGTTAAACTCCGTTCACCAACTCCCGCCTCTCGGGTCACGTGATCCGCTTCACCTAGTAGGCGCGAGCCCAAACTACGCCCGCCCGCCCGCCGCCGGCGGCGTTGGGACCGCGGCCTTGGCCGCCAGACCCCGCCCTGATTGACAGCCGAGCTCTGAATTCCCACGCCTTCCTTCCAGAAGGAAGAGCTCCAGTCGCAGAGTACGCACGTGCAGTATCCAAGTTATTCTCTGGGTGCTCATCTAGGTGATGACGCTTGGCTGGTTTATCTCGATTTCTGCCTCCCGCCACTCAAACCTAAGTTCCCTGAAGGCAGGATTTGTGTTACTCAAGTACTGGACCTTCAACCTTTGCCGACCAAATAAAATAATTCCCAAACAGGAAACCCAAAGCTCCTCGGGGGAGGTGAGAGGCGGTGACAGGAGGAATAATCTCAGTGGCCAGCTAGCCTGTTCTGCAGAGGAAAACTGTGTGACAGCCTCTTTCAAGTCAAGGTCAAGTGGAAAAGGACCTAGCTCTTCCTCCCTGTCCACGCTCAAATGCACACACGAATATATATATATTCACACACGAAAGTCATAGCTAGGTTCTGTTTACAACTTTTGAAATCTAATGTAAATTCTTACTTGCATTATTTTTCGTCTTTTGCTTCCTTGAGACAGGGTCTCTCTCTATGTAGTCCTGGCTGTTCTAGAACTCTCTATATAGAACAGGCTGTGACTTTGCCTTAATGTTCATACTTTAGTGACAGCATTTTTAAAAAGATTTTATTCTTACGTATATGTCTTTGTGAGTGTATGCCTGCACGTGTGTGTGAGTTGCCCCCTGAGGCCAAAGGAGAAATCTGGAACTGGGCACTAGAGCAAAACTCCAGACCTCTGGAAGAGCAACAAGTGCTCTTGACCCTGAGCTGGCTATGCAGTCCAGTGCTAACAGAAGTATGCAAATGACTTTCCTGATTATTAAACTACTTTTTCTGTATTAAAAGCAATACTGCAGCATGCATCTTCATGCAGATTCTCCTCATTTGGAATTATTACTTGAGAACAAAATCCCATAAAAGAATCGTGGGACCAAATGATGAGAATATTTACATATTTAAAAATGTCTTGTCTCTGGTCAGGTACCTTCCAAAATTTGTAATAATCCTACAGATAATCCAAAGTAAGTCCCAACTTAAACCCACAAGCCTGTCAGGTGCTTGCAGAGTTGGTTGGCTGCCCGCTTTTCTTTAGGTGCGTTAAAAAATGGGGGCTGCCAACCCTAAGATGGCTCCCTTAATTAAGATATGTGCTTCCCTGCTCCCCTATCCAACCTTCCTTTATCCCAATCATCCCGTTTCCCCAAGTTCCCCCCCCATCCTCCCCTTCTCCCTTTCTCTCCCCATCTCCCCTTACCCCCTCCCACTCCACCCCCAAGATCCCAATTTTTTGCCCAGCAATCTTGTCTACTTCCCATAACCAGGAGGATAGCTATATGTTTTTCTTTGGGTTCACCTTCTTATTTAGCTTCTTTAGGATATCATATTATAGACTCACTGACCTTTATTTGTGGCTAGAACCCAATTATGAGTGAGTACATCCCATGTTCATCTTTTTGGGTCTGGGTTACCTCACTCAGGATAGTGTTTCCTATTTCCATCCATTTGCATGCAAAATTTGAGAAGTCATTGCTTTTTACCGCTGAGTAGTACTCTAATGTGTATATATTCCACACTTTCTTCATCCATTCTTCCATTGAATTCCTAGGTTGTTTCCAGGTTCTGGCTATTACAAATAATGCTGCTATGAACATAGTTGAACAAATGCCCTTGTCATATGAGGTGCCCAGGGCGATGTCCCCAGTTAGTTCCTGGGGCAGCTGAGGATAGGGAACCTGAAATGGCCCGATCCTATAGCCATACTGATGAATATCTTGCATATCACCATAGAATCTTCATCTGGCGATGGATGGAGATAGAGACAGAGACCCACACTGGAGCACCGGACTGAGCTCCCAAGGTCCCAATGAGGAGCAGAAGGAGGGAGAACATGACCAAGGAAGTCAGGACCACGAGGGGTGCACCCACCCACGGAGACAATGGGGCTGATCTATTGGGAGCTCACCAAGGCCAGCTGGACTGTGACTGAAAAAGCATGGGATAAAACCGGACTCTTTGAATATGGCAGACAATGAGGGCTGCTGAGAAGCCAAGGACAATGGCACTGGGTCTTGATCCTACTTCATGTTCTGGCTTTGTGGGAGCCTAGCCAGTTTGGATGTTCAACTTCCTAGACCAGGATGGAGCGGGGAGGACTTTGGACTTTCCACAGGGCAGGGAACCCTGACTGCTCTTTGGACTGGAGAGGGAGGGGGAGAGGAGTGGGAGGAGGGGGAGGGAAATGGGAGGCTGAGTGGAGGCGGAAATTATTTTTTTTCTTCAATAAGAAAAATAATAATAAAAAAAATGGGGGCTGCCAGGCACCTGGCACTCGCTGCCTTTCATTAGGATGAATAATTGGAAGCAGATACTACTTACATATTGCCTGTTTTCTGCAATTTATTTCCATTGGCCAATACAATACAAAGGGAAATTCCCACCAACGTTTGCTTACAATTGTTTTATTCATTTACTTGCGTGTGTGTGTGTGTGTGTGTGTGTGTGTGTAGGGGCTCGAGGGCCACAGCCTATGTGTGAGGTCAAAGAACAACTTGCAGGTCTCAGTCCTGCCCTTCTACCATGTACATTCCAGCACGTGAACTCATGTGGTCAGGCTTGGTGGCCAACACCTGCCCACTGAGCCGTCTCAGCGCCCTGTTTCTGGAGCTATTTTACTTACACAGTCACACAAACTTGGCCTCTGCTTATTTCTCAGTTTTTGGAATTTTATGTAGCATTATTTGTTTGGGTTTGGGTTTAGCGATTATTTTGGGTTTTGTTTTTCTAAGAACACCGCATGAAATCAATTCATAACAAAATTTTAAAGTGTGCGTTACCATGTGCATAACCGTGTATAGCAGACCTCTAGAGTGTTCATCTTGCTGGGCCGAAACTGCAATTACTAGCTCCCCATTTCTCCTGCATCCAGTCCCTACTAATGTTTGACTCTGTGAGTCTGATTATTTTAAATACCTCCTATGAATGGAGTTGTGGCATAGCTGTCTTTTTTATAATTGTGTCTTCATACATAGTAGGTACCCAAGATTCAATTGTGCTGCCACACTTTGTAGAATGTCCTACCTAAGTAGGAGACTAAGTGGCATTTTGATACATATACTTATCTGGGTCACTTGTCAAACTCTTAGGCTAGGCACAACCTAACCATTGTAACTATTGTACATACTTGCTTTCAGGCGAGGCAACAACCTAACTATTGTCACTGTTGCAAGCAGTTACTTTTAAGCTAGGCCACATCCTAGCTATTCTAAGCAGTTACTTTTAGGCTCTGCTACAGCCTAACTATTGTAATTACTGCAGGTGGTTACTTTTAGGCTGGGCTACATCCTAACTATTGTAAGGAATGTTGTTTCTCTCTGAGCTCTCTATTCGATCAGTTCTTTTGGTTAAATGCCCAGAAAATCAGATCCTTTGACCATATGCTATTTCTACATTTAAGATTTTGTGGAATGTAGCTCCCCAAGTGGCTACATCATTTTTACATTCTCACCGAAAGATCGGAATTCCAGTTTCTCCACATCCTTACCGACAGACACTTGCTGCCGATGGACTTGTGAGTTGGTCTAGCTATGGAGTCTCTAAGAAAGGCTGCTTGGTTACCTTAGACCTCCTTAGAAACCATCGCCCCTTTACAGTGCCTGCCTGGTACAGGAGAAAAACCAGCTTCTCCGTTCATGAGCAGTTTAGTGCCCCTTACTGGCCATCTTCTTTGTACATTGTCACTAAGTGTGTGGGTTGTTTCCATTTCAAACATCAACAACTCCGCTATGCAGAAGTTGAGCCTGCCCAATCCGTAATAATATTCCATTTCCTTGTCAAATGTACTGTGATGTTAGCTGTCATTTGAAAGACGTACATAGTATGCTACAGCAATATGGCACATGCACATGTAAACTAAGCATAAGATGTCTATACATAAGGTTACATCATGTTATTTAGTAGCTCATACTCAATATAAATGCTTGGTAAAATCAAATACTTTAGAGGATTCTGTTTAATGTTCTTCCCCATATGACTGTATCAAACGATAGATTCTAATATAGTTAAAAGTTATAGACTTGGGTTATATTGGGCCCTAGTAAAATTTTTGGTTTAAAATAAGTTGAGAGACATACCAGCACCACAGAAAAGGTCGGGGCGGGGGAGGGGTTGTTTTTGTCTGGTGTTTTGTTTGCGTTTGCGTCATGGCCTTATTGGCAGTCTGGTGTCATTCTAAGAATAACATTTTTAAATGCCTACATACATATGTTTACACTTAACACGGCTTTATTGAAACACAGTTCTAGCCACAGACCCTTTGGAAACTGAGTACCTTTGATGCTTTCAGACATTTGTCTTGCTCTGCTTAGGCTGCTTGCCAGTATCCCATGTGGCTTAGATACGGGGAACCCTGGCTAGGAGCAGGGGGGAACGAGAAAGGGACAGACACACATACCAGGGGCACGTTGCGTTCTCATACTTTTGAAGGCTAGACATCCATAATCAAGATGCTAGTCAATTTGGTTTCTGTGAGCACTCTCTCCCTTCCTTATAGACTTACCTTCTCCCTGTGTCCTAGCCTTTCCCTGGGGAGTTCTCAAGATGAGAGGAAAACAGGAGTCTCTGGTGATTGTAAGGACACTGTGCTGGTTGGCTTTTGTCAACTTACAACAAACCTAGATGTTTCTGGGAAGAGGAACCTCCATTGAGAAAATGGCCCCATCAGAATGCCTGGACAAATCATAGGGCATTTTCTGATTAATGATTGATGTAGGAGGGGGAGGTCTCAACCCACTGTTGTGATGTGGGAGTGTCATATATCAATCTGTTGATTTCATTGGTTAAGCAATAAAGAAACTGCTTGGCCCTCATAGGTTAA